TTTCTATGGCATTTTCTCTGATGAAGTAACAACTTCAATCTCCTCCAAATACTCCTATCATTTCATTGATATATGAATTAAAGAAAAATGCAAACGAAACATCAGTATTTGCAGTTTGCCATAGTTGAGTTAGGATCAGATATGAAAGCCTTTTCTGAGACCCAAATAAATCAGCAAGTCAGAAGAGTGCTATAATCTCTCTTTTTTCCATAAAAATAACTGTTGAATCTAGTAAGAAATGACTTGAGTAATGCATTTGGAAAGGGAACTGACGCCCAAGGAAATGTAACACGTCTTCTCTTGCAGCAGCTTCTTTGCTCTGCAGATTCTGCTTTTTCTTTTAAGAAAATGCCACTAGAAAAATGATAATATGCATTTTCTTTTTAAAAAGTTGCACATTATTTGCAAGAATTCATGATTACATCTTTAATAAACATGTTCTATGTAATTACAAAAACAAAACCCACATTAAAGAGATAAATTCATCCATCACATTAAGCCAACATTATTTAACAAATATCTTAAACAAGGTGATGTAGTCTGATTCATATAATACAATGCCATTAACTTTGTTTATAAGCCACAATTGATGTGCTTGTACATCACATCAAAGCTAAACCAAACTTCATGATGACACAATGTGATGTATAAATTTTCTGACTGGCTTTTTAAAAAGATGTGGTTTCTGAAGACTTAAATCTAGAGCACATTTTTTAAAAAATAACATTTAGTTTTCATTCCTTCCCTACAAATTCAGTAATATTTCTTCCAAAATCACAAGAGTGGACGTATAAATAATTCATTGCTTTTGGCATGTAAAAATGCTCCTTTGGGGGGGGGGGGAAACAATTTTATATTATAATTTTTCTTAAAGTTATATTACATTTCACACAACATTTGCTTAACACAGTACAGAACCTTTTTTTCTTAATTAAACTTGGCAGTCACGTTAAATTCATTATAAAATTAGGTTTGTTTTAAATTGATTTTGATTCCTGGTGATTTCATGTAACTTTTAAGGAAGCAAGACTCTCTAAGTTTGCTCAGTGAAATGATTCTGATATAATTCTTTTAGGTTCCTAGCACTAACTCCTTGGAAATTTTACCACCTGGTTTCGCTCATAATACTTGGAATAGTCTTTATGCAGATGATGAAGGAATTAGTGCTGTCTAGACTAAAAGGTAAGGTTTTGCTTTCCTACCTAATTTAGCATGTAATGTTATATCAGTAAAGTCTGGAAGCCAATCTGTATTACTTTATCCACCTAATTCAGAATTTAAAGGCTTGGGTAATCTATGTTGGGTGCCATATCAGTAAAAGAATTCCCTCCCTCTCCATTCTTAGTTTTATTTTAATTGAATTTTGAAATTTAAGATCCTTCCTTATTGTTTTAATCTTTTACATTGCATTTTATCCAATGTCTTTAAGCTGCCTAGAGTCGTCTTTGGCAAGATGGGCGGCATACATGTTAAATAAACTAATAAATAAGTTGCTTAATATTGTGATTAGACAACTTATCAGCTCACTAAGAGAAATGACTCATATCAACTAATTTATCCCAGAATATATTCTGATGTCAGCTCCTAAATTATAAAGATCATATTCACATAAGCATGTTTGAAAGCTTGAACTGTGTTATGTGATTTCTTTAGCTACAAGAGCCAATTCCTGTGTTGTATTGATGTAGCTTAATTATGATTCTGAATATGGGTCACTTATGTGTGTGAGAGAGAAGAGAGGTTGTTAAAGCAATGATGGCTCATAAGATATATATTTTAGGCCACAGAGGAAATACCTTTTGCTTTGATTACTTATCCTATTTTGATTTCAGGTGGGCAGTTATGGCGACGTCTCACTGACTAGTAAGTGCTGCTGACTTATACCTATCCATATCTTTATTTTGCCAGGGACTTTTAAGTATCGGAATTTCCTCATGATTTTCAGATGAAGAACGGATTTGGGTTTCTAATTTTTATAAACTTTTCTAGAAATGTTAAAATATTTTAAATTAATTGATTTGTCAAAATGCCATGTAAACTTTGTTCAAATTTCTCTGAGTATGCTTCCGTTAAATCTTACTCTTGGTCCATCTGAGCCAAAGATACAGTGTGAAATACCCAATATCATCTATGGCCTGGTCATGGATTGACTACTGCAATGTGCTCTACATGGAGCTGCCTTGGAAGACTACCAGAAACTTCAATGGGTCCAAATATGGCAGCACAAGCAGTATGCCTTAATATGGTGATGTAACATCTCTGCTTTCTGAGATGAACTGAGCTGCACTGGTTGTCAGTTTGCTTTCAAGATGCTGCTTGCTATCTATAAAGCCTACATGGCATAGGACAGTGATGGTGAACCTTTTAGACACCAAGTGCCCAAAAACCACTCCGTCCCTTGCAACCCCAGCCCGCAGGGCCACCTACTGCCTGCACAGCCCGCTGCAGTAAATTGCCCAGGTGGCCCTGCAGCACCATGGCAGCTCCGCCCGCGCCCCACAGCATCATCTGTGCATGATGGGCGTGAGGGCGGAGTCTTGTCTCTGCTGCCCAGCTGCCATGTCCTGGGCTGAGCTGCTCCGTGCAGGCTGCACCCTGGGGCGACTCTACTACGCGGGGGCTGCTGATGGGGCCGTGGGGAGAGGCAGGGCTGGGGCGACAGCGCACGTGCCCACAGAGAGAGCTCTGCGTGCTGCCTCTGGCACGCATGCCATAGGTTCGCCACCACTGGCATAGGACCTGGTTACTTGAAGAACTTCCTGTCTCTCATATGATCTTCCCAGCTGATCTAATCTGGGAGGGTTAGTGTGCTCTGGATTCCTTCAGTTAAACATTGTCATCTGTTGGAATCCAAGAAACGCACCTTCTGTGGAACAGTACCTCTAGGATGAGGTTACCCTGAAATCCAAACACCCTTGCCCTTCTGGTGTTTCAAAAGGCCCTGAAGAACCAGCTCTTCACCCAGGCCTTTGGCAAGGGTGATTGAAACCTTTTCTTCTTTGCTCCATCCAGTTTAATCATTTCTGCCAATTTTCCTTGTTTTTAAATGTTTTAGTAGTTTGTAAACCATCCAGAGACGCTAGGACTCAGGAAGCATATAAATTTAATACTATTATTATATTCTCCTATGATTCAGAAGGGTGTTAGTTTACAGTTTCAGATTTCCTTCTTTTAAGAAGTTCTAGCTAAAATGCTAAGGGGCATCTGCTTCAGTGAAAGTTAGTCTAGGTAAGATACTTGGTGAATTTTCTTTTGCCAAATTCTTTTAATAAGTGACTGTTTGGTCTATGCTGTAATGCATTTAAGAATTTATATTCCATCTGAGGTGTGATGTCAGCACAAATCCTAGAATAATAGACACAGCTAGATGGAGAACAAAAACTACTGCCTCTATATGACCCTTTACTTTTACCTCTCATTAGCAAGATAAGCAAGATTACTGAATTGCTAAATTTTGGTCTGCTCTTCTTTCTTACTGGTATTCAGAGTTTTTATCACTCGTGCTAGAACAGTGGTTCTCAACCTTTTTAATGCCGCGACCCCAACCGGTCGTAAGTCGACTTTCCCTGCCTGGGAGCGCCGCGCATGTGTGGTGCCCCCTGCTCCAGCCGAGGCGTAGCTGGCAAGGGGCAGCAACGGCGCAGGGCAACCACTGGCTGGGCCACCAGCTGGCCCAGCCCAAGGGAGATAAGGCACCAGCCGGGCCCCACGTGCGCCAGCAACCCTCCCTGCGCCTGCTGACCTCCCACCCCTGGCCCTCCTTTACTTATATTTTTAATAGTTGCTCAGCAGGGAGGGGTGGAAGCTTCCAGACAGCTCGCCTTCACTGCAGACAACTTGCAGTACCGTTTGCAGACTGGGGCTTTTGGTGGGCTCAGCAGGACAGAGACAGCCTGGACAATTCCTATTGGCTTTTGAAAGCCAATAGAATTAGACTCTATTCAAGAGAATCTATTCTATTGGCTTTCAAAAGCCAATAGAATAAAAGGGAGTAGCTGTAATAGAATCACATAGAATATGTTAGGCCAAGAGAAATTGCACAGCCAACGTTGTCTAGAATGATTCATAGCTGTAAGGATATTTGATGAAAAGATGTTCTCTGGTTGCCTAAATTAGCACCTGTAACTGTTGTAACAAACTGGCTTTTGATGAATAGAATGATGTAGCTGCTGCAAAATAGATAGCAATGTGAAAATAGCAATTTTGGGTCCTACACTCTGTTTATATAACCTTATTTAGTTACCGTATCTGTAATTTATACACTGCTCAGTTCCAAAATTGTTTTGAGTATCTTACTATAATCCTAAAGCAAATAGAGAGAATAGGAAACCAACCACCCAACCCAGCAATAGTTGGTTTTCTAAACATTGAAACATGCAATAATACTAACAGCAATAATAACCTGCCTCAGAGAGGAGACTCACCATAATGGCTTAGGAATTCTGGGAATTGAAGTCCACGAGTCATAAAAGAGGCAAGGTTGCCTACCCCTGCACCATTCCATGAATCCCCAGAGACTTTCCAAAAGAACCAGGTATTGGCATCTTTCCTGGTTACCAGTAGATATCAACCTTTCAAGGTAGACCACATTGGGAAACCAGGATTATGAACGCTAATACAGATAGTCCTCGACTTACATCCACAATTGAACCCAAAATTTCTGTTGTTAAATGAGATATTTGTTAAGTGAGCTTTGCCCCATTTTATGACCGTTCTTGCCACAGTTATTAAGCGAATCACTGCAGTCGATAAGTTAGCAACATGGTTGTTAAGTGCGTCTGGCTTCCCCATGGACTTTGCTTGTCAGAAGGTCACAAAAGGGGATCACATACCCCGGGGACACAGCAACGGTCATAAATATGAATCATTTGCCAAGCATCTGAATTTTGATCACATGGTCATGGGGATGCTGCAAAGGCCGTAAGTGTGAAAAGTGGTCATAAGTAACTTTTTTCAGTGCCATTGTAACTTTGAATGGTCACTAAATGAACTGTTGTAAGTCGAGGACCACCTGAACTACTTTTATTATAAAGTTACAGTAATAGACTCTTGAAGATCTGAATGCGCCTGCCCCCTCCCTCCCTTTATCTTCCAGAGAACTACAGAGGATCAGGTCTCAGACTTTCAAATTTTACTTCTCAAATTACATTTCTGACTTGGACTTAATTTTTTTTTAACACTGTTGCCTTGATTGTGACTCTTCCTGCTGTTCCTCAAGTTCATTCTTACTTCCCACTGCAGCAGGGCCAATATTGACCCAGAGCACTATTGCAAAGATAGGACCCTGCGGAAAGAAAACATTGAAAAATGGCAGTCATTCAAGAGAAGGACTTAAGGAGTGCCTTCCTTAATAATTCTTATGGGATAGGCAGAAGCTCCAGGAAGTAAAGAACTCGCATACATCTGAAGGCTGTCTAAACTTAAAAAAAAAAAAAAAGTATTTAAAAATACTTTGTATGTATGTGTATGGGGATTGAATGAAGGTTCGGGCTTTCAGAAGCTGTCATCTGGTTTTATCTTCTTTATTTAACCTATTGGTGAAGACAGTTCATGTTCAGCTTCATTTCAATTTGTTTTTCAATTTCTGGGCACAGCTGCTCTAATGTTGTAGTTTTAAAATGTCTATATGTGTGCATGGATGCACTTTTCTTATATAAAACATATATTGGATTTATTTGCTTATTTAAAATCAGTTTATTAAAGTTTACAAATACAAACATGAAAGAATAATACAAAGAACATGGAAAAATAAAAGAGCAAAAAGATACAAAAGAAAAACAATTATATATATATATAATATATATAAATATATATTTGTTTTCTGAGGTTTTCGCGGGTGTTTGTATGTAGGTCTTTGGTTGTTCGGGTTTTCTCCCGCATAAAATTGGAAGTGTCTTGGCGACGTTTCGACGAAGTCCCATTCGTCATCTTCAAGCTGGTATTTTCAGCTTCGTGCTTCGGGCAGCAATTGCTGCCCGAAGCACGAAGCGGAAAACACCAGCCTGAAGATGACGAATGGGACTTTGTTGAAACGTCGCCAAGACACTTCCAATTTTACGTGGGAGAAAACCCGAACAACCAAAGACCTACATATATATATATATATATATATATATATATATATATATATATATGATGACTCCCCCCTCCTTCCAGACAAGTATAAATATTTTCATCTTCTCTAGTATATCAGTAAAAAAACCTCTCTTCTTTCCATATCTCATTCCTTGTCAATAATCAAATTGTAAAGCTTTATCATTCAGTCCTAATCAGCAAAGGTTTATTAAGAGCTGTAATTATTATATTCTTGGTAATTGATGTGAATATCCTGAAGAGGGCAGTAAAATGTATCAAATATAATGTACACTGTATGATGTAGGGAACAATATATATATATAGGCTTTTATGGAATTCCATATTTGGCATATTCTTTCTTTGGCATAGATTTTCTTGAGAAGCAGATAGCTAGATGATAGACAAACAGACATAACACTCCTAAAAATACATTTAGTTTAATCTACAATTCTTGTTTTAACTTACTCTTCTTCTATTTGATTTTCCGTAAAACTGGATTATAAATAATTTCACTGATGCCTAAGACTGTAAGAGGATCACAGTTTAAGTATTAGTTCTCTCACTTCTTCATACCTTTCAAACTTTGATTTTTTATTACAACTTGTAATTGTAATTCTTTCTTCACTTCTATTTATATGCTATGAGAATAAATAGTTTTAAACAATGGGAAAAGAAAAAGATACATTATGAGTTTTGAAAGACAGTTTGATGTAGTGGGTTAAGTCACCGGGCAAGAAACTGGGAGACAAGGAGTTCTGGTCCTACCTTAGGCATAAAGCTAGCTGATTGACCTTGAACCAGTCACTCTCTCTTAGCTGTAGAAAGAAGGCAATGGCAAACCACTTCTGAATCCTGCAGGGACTAGGCATGAAGTCACTGGGTGTCAACCCTGATTTGAAGGTAGAAAACAAAAACATAGGAGTTGGCTTTATTCATTTTGCATACAGGCAAAAAAAATTAATGTTATTAATATTTCAAATTGTTATCCAGCAATAGTATAAGTAAGAAAAGTGTGCAAAATTGAAGACTGTGGAGGTCGGAAGGGTTTTGTCAGCATAGTCATTGCTAGAGAATAAAGCATTAGCTCCCTGCCTTTTGCTTGTAGCTTGGCTTGCTAAACACAATTATTTATAAAACATGAGCAAGTGTTACAAAACACTCTCTTTACAGAAGGCACAGCATCCGGGTTATAATGATACTAGAGGGTGTGTTTTCCATCAGAACATTTGATTAGTTGCTAACTTTGGCAGGAATGTCCTGGCACAAGTTTATCACAGCATGTGAATGCTTCAGCAAAAAAACATGTTTATTTTCTTTCACAATTTTTTGCTTAAAGCCTGTTTATTTTCAAGCAGTCTTCTATTATGCATGAAAATAAACTGTTGCAACATATTTTCTGTGAACTGGGTTTCTCAAGTAAACAGACATAGTTTATGTACCAAAAATCAGTGAATGTTTAAATAGTGAAATATTTCTGGCACATTCTGTATGCCCTTTGATGCCCTTAATCATATAGCAACTCTGTCCATGTTTTAAGTCATTGGCCATATTTCTGACGGACCTATTGGGCATGATAGAATTTACATGAGACACATTCTGTTGTGTAGAAAATAATGTTTCACTTTTATAATTACTGCTGAGTATGATCAGTCATTTCATTTTATAATATGCTATATGCCAGCCAAACTTGTATTCTGGCATATTACAACAGTTACATATTTATGTTCCCAAATATAGCTCATTTTCTTTTAAGTATTTATATCATATTAAATCAGTTTTTAGTGCTTACATGCAATGTTTTTGAAGGGAAGGAGAATAATTTGTTTCATTATTATACAATTAACTTTGGGAACACTTTCAGGGAAGTTTTGTGAAATGAAAAAAAGAATTTTCTTTAATTGTTCCACATAATCCAGTGGGGAAAGTGTTAAAGCAAGAAAAAATAATTTCTCTTCCTATTCCTTTCTTTTCTCATATGTAATGTAAGAAATATTATAGACACTACCAAAAGGGTAACATTTTTTTTAAGTGTACAACAATACAGACAACTGACACGTTAGTTCTTAACAATATGTGGTTTAGGCTTGGATTCAGATTTCTGCAGAAATCAATTTTCTAGCTTGTCCATAAAATGTAGTTATTGCAAAGGAAAAAAACCTTATGATCAGTGACATTAAACATCTTAATGAATGTGTGTATTACAAGCTGCCTATAGAGTCATAAGGTAGATGGCACACAAATTTTTGTAATAAAATAAAAACCTAATAATGTAGTCAAAACTTGCTTGCAGACATATATCATTCTCTCAGTCAGTGTTTGATATAATTTATAACTGCTCTAGCATTCAGCACTAAAAGCACAGTTTCATAATATTCTTTCATTCTCATAGGTAAATGACATACAAAGTCTTAGATTTTTGTCTGTTTTTAAGGTGCAGAATTTTATGCAGGTTTTTAAAGGTAAGAATCAGGAAAGCATAAGCATAATTGTGTATGGGTGTTCCTTTCTTTTCTCAAATGATTTAAGACAATGAAAACCCAAAATATTATTATCGAGCTTTTTTATTTTTAGGATAATGTACAGAAATACAAAAACACAATTATGCAACAGCAAAGTAATGTACATAAGAACAATATTAAAGCCAATAACAACTTTAAAAGGCTAAATTTTAAAAAATGGACATTGATTCTCTTCTGAAAGCAGAAAAATGGAGAGTTAGATATGTTTCACTATAATTTTAGAGTGATGGAAGAGAAATCTTTTTGTGTTCTTAACAAGCTGTTTTCAAAAGGGCCTCTCATGCACATGAAGGTAATTACGGAATAAAAAAACAAAAGATGTAGTCCCTTATATAATCAGATTCTAAGCTGTTCAGGATTTTAAAATTAAGACCACTGTCACAAATCTTGGTGATAGTTTGTTGTCTTTTTGCTAAGGTTAAGTGTTAAGACCTTTGGGTTTTGTTCAGATGTTACAATGTTATAATTATAGGATCTGGTTAGCAGCTTAACATAATTACTGCCAAAGGTAATTCTTCATAGAACATATGGCAGTCAGTATAACCATGGCTTTGTTTACTACAAATAAGAATGAGTTTATTACAACTGGTATTGCACTCACTGTACAGAAGAAGGCCTCCGAGGCCAGAACAGGCCTCTGGAGGCCTGCAAAAGTGTCCCCTGGCCTCCTTTCTGGCGGCAGCAATCCGGAAAAGGCCTCTGACACCCAGATCAGGCCTCCGGTGGCCCGCAGAAGCATCCCCGGCCTCCTTTCCGGGTGCCAGCAGCCCAGAAAAGGCCTCTGACAGCCGGATCATGTCTCTGGTGGTCCAAGGAAACATCCCCGGCCTCCTTTCCAGACAGCAGTGGCTCAGAAAAGGCCTCTGACACCTGGATCAGGCCTCCGGAGACCCACAGAAGCCTCCCCTGGTTTCCATTCCATTCTCTGTTGCAGAGAACAGCGGCCTAAACTACCGTGAGATCATGCGAGATCAGTAGTGTGAGATCTCACATCACTGACGTCATGCAATTGATCTTGCATGATCTTGTGTTACTTTAGGCCTCTATTCTCTGTTAACGCACTGAAGGCCTGGAGCAGCCAAGAAAGGAAACCCGAGAGGGGAAGGGAGGGAATAGCCAGGGTGAATGTTGCAGTGCCACTGCAGTCATTCGTAAGGGTGAACAACTGCCATGTTGCAGCAATATTTGTAATTTTGGGGCTTTTTTTGTAAACAGGGGCATTTATCGCATAATTTACCTGTACTTATATATATTATCCTTTTTGCAATCGAGTTGATTACATGACTATTCATATCATGTTCCTCTATTATATATATCTTGTTATTATTTCATAGGTTTAGCTATTTTTTCTTTAAACAACACATATGATACTATTCATTCATACTGCTGTTGACATAGCACTTGGGAATCACCAGCATAAATCTCAATTTTTTAAAAGTGTTTCACAGAGCAGGTCTAATTAAATGGATTTAATAGGTGAATAAAAATGCCAAATTCATTTTACCTTCTGGCTGATTACATGACCAATTTCACATTTCACTTCCATCAAAAGCCACTATAGAATGAAATAAGTAATGAACTGTTTAAGAATAAAAAAGGAGGACCAAACATAAAACAAAGCTAAAATAATACAGACTATTATTGTCAGTATTATAATATCTAATATCACTGTAAACTTTTGGTCCCTGATTTTTTTACCTCTAGATCAGAGGTCTCCAACCTTTCTTGGTTGGCTGACTGGAGAGAAAGGGAAGAGGAAGCATTTTGCACATGTGCACACACATAAATGAGGCCGCGAGCATGCACGACACAAACTGGGTGGTGCTAGTGCCCATGTGACACTCACTAGCATCACCCCATTTTTGCTGTGCGGCACCCCATTTTTGAAGCACTAGCAAAAATGGCGCTAGCGCAAGTGGGCATGGCCAGCCTGTCCCGCGACCTGCTGGCCAGCAGGCCGCGGCCCACAGGTTGGCAACCCTGCTCTAGATCACTAGAGAAGGTGGGATGGTAATCCGTAATGAATACTTACTTCCCAAATAACAAAAATTGATCTAAATGATTCTTTTTAAAACATTGTTAAATATATTAACATGATTCTCCACAGGAAATGATATTAACACAACCCTGTCTTGTTTGCTGGAAAAAAAAATACCCAGATGAAAATTTAAACAAATATCAAAACCCTCTACACTAGGGGTGTCAAACTGGCAACGTCACATGATGTGTCGCAATGTATCACAACTTTTTTTCCATTGCCGGCAATGGGGTGGGTGCGGTTTCGGCATGATGCATCCGGCCCATGGGCCAGCAGTTGTAACAGCCCTGTTCTACACAATAGAGGGAACAAAAGTATTGATGGTGCCATTTGAGGCACAGCCACCAGATTACAAGACACAAAACAACTATTGTTTTTTAACATTCATTGGCTACATCTCCCAGTCTGAAAATAAAAAGGCCCAATCTGATAAAGTAATTTATCAGTTTTATTTAGTAATAAAACTAAACAGCTGTAGCTAATTGCATTTTTCCCATCGTTATGAAGCTTTTTTAATTTTTATTTTTTAAAAAGTCTCTCTTTGGTCTAAGACGACTATCCGGATAAATCCTAATATTCTTTTTATTTAGCAAGATCAAAAAAAGTGTTTGCTTCTTTTTGTTTGTGTTTTTCTGGACTGCTGCTAGCTAAAAGAAAAAGAGGCACTGCTGGATATGAGCATGCAGAGATAGACACCAAGCTCAGTAAACCAGCTCTGACTAATATAGAAAGTTTGTGTTTTTAAGTGTATCCTGAAACTCCACCTCAACAGGTCACAAGAACAGCCACAGAGTACATAGACACATACCACCAAATTGTAGCATTTCATTGTCTGCTTGCCAGATTGCAGTAAAATCCATTTATCTCATGGCAGTTTTAATAATAATAATAATAATTAAAAAAAACTGATTACAAACAGCGGCATGACAAAGTAGCAACAATGGTGCATTGGAAGATCTGCAAAAAATATCATTTGCCTGTAAGCAAAAACTGGTGGGATCATAAAATAGAGAAAGTCATAGAAAATGATAAAATTAAACTGCTCTGGGACTTCAGAATTCAAACAGACAAGCACCTGCAACATAACACCCCAGACTTAACAATTGTCGATAAGAAAGACAAAAAAGTCTGGATAGTGGACGTGGCAGTGCCTGGAGACAGCAGAATAGAAGAGAAAGAACTGGAGAAGATAACAAAATACAAAGACCTACAAATAGAAATAGAAAGACTGTGGCAAAAGCAAGCAAGGGTAGTACCAATAGTCATAGGCTCCTTGGGTGCAATCCCAAAACAACTGGAGCACCACTTGAACACAATTGGCATTGACAAATTCGCTATTAGTCAATTGCAAAAGGCGGCCTTATTAGGAACTGCTTCCATCCTGCGACGATATCTGTAATACCATCAAACATCCACATCTGCCTATCCCAGGTCCTGGGTAAGGACTCGATAGGTAGACAAAATGCCAAATAGACAAAATGCCAAATCCAGTCTGAACATTTGGCAGACTGTGCGATGATCGATAATAATAATATAACAAAATACAAAGACCTACAAATAGAAATAGAAAGACTGTGGCAAAAGCAAGCAAGGATAGTACCAATAGTGATAGGCTCCTTGGGTGCAATCCCGAAACAACTGGAGCACCACTTGAACACCACTGGCATTGACAAATTCGCTATTAGTCAATTGCAAAAGGCGGCCTTACTAGGAACTGCTTCCATCCTGCAACGATATCTGTAATACCATCAAACATCCACATTTGCCTATCCCAGGTCCTGGGTAAGGACTCGATAGGTAGACAAAATGCCAAATCCAGTCTGAACATCTGGCTGACTGTGCAATGATCCATAATAATAATAATAATAATAATAATAATAATAATAATAGTAGTAGTAATAATAATAATAATAATGTTGGAAGGGACCTTGGAGGTCATCGAGTCCAACCCCCTGCTCAGGCAGGAACCCTACACCATTTCAGACAAATGGCTGTCCAGTCTCTTCTTAAAAACTTCCAGTGTTGGAGCATTCACCGCTTCTGGAGGCAGGTTGTTCCATTGGTTAATTGTTCTAACTGTCAGGAAGTTTCTCCTTAATTCTAAGTTGCTTCTCTCCTTGATCAGTTTCCATCCGTTGCTTCTCGTCCTGCCTTCAGGTGCCTTGGAGAATAGCTTGACTCCCTCTTCTTTGTGGCAGCCCCTGAGTATTGGAACACTGCTATCATGTCCCTCCTCGTCTTTCTCTTCGTTAAACTAGACATACCCAATTCCAGCAACCGTTCCTTATATGTTTTAGCCTCCAGTCCCCTAATCATCTTTGTTGCTCTTCTCTGTACTCTTTCTAGAGTTTCAGCATCTTTTTTATATCGTGGTGACCAAAACTGGATGCAGTATTCCAAGTGCGGCCTTACCAAGGCATTGTAAAGTGGTATTAATATTAGTATTAATAAGTATTTTTTTAAAAGAAATAAAGTAATAACTTACCAAGCCGGCTTGCAGGAGTGAAGATATTAGCAAACTATTTCTTTTTTTTTTCCTTTTTCTTTTTTGCCAAACTATGCATTTAACTGCTTCTTCTTCTAAATAATCCAGTTCCACATCACCCATTCCACATAAACCAATAGTAGTGACAAACATGATTGTCCCATCTGCTTCATAGGGGTGGAAGGGAAAAAAAAGATTGAAAAAAGGAACCCAGTCACAACCCCATAAACAGCCCAATCACAGTGCTCTGAGCAGTTGAAATACTTGCAGTGATGCCAGTTGAAACAGCTAGGTTTTGTTTCACATTTGACATGCATGAAGCAGATGTTTCAAGGATTTTGCACATCCATGTCCCTGATGGTCATTCTTTTTTAAAAAAAACCAGAAAATTAAATAAAGAAACCATAAGATTTCATAGAAATATTCATATGAACTTCATCAATTTTAAGATGTTATAAACATTTCTAATCTAAATCACTTCCTACCAACTAACAAGCAGGCAATTATTTGCCATAGAATTTTTTGGTTGCTAAAAACTATTTTAAAGAGAGTAAAAATCTAATTCAATTGTCTAGTTCAGTGATATAACAAATGAATTATTTCCCTACCTTCTTCATTTTTTTGCTTGTTTTTGTTTGGGGAGCATTTTTTAAAAAATAAACATGCTAGCTAAATAAATTATTCTTATATAAATTCCTAACTCTTTGTTTTATTTTCTAACTATCTTCAATAAATATGACCAGCAAAGCTAATTGTGGATCTGTTTTGATTTTGTAATTGTTGATTTTACTCATTACTGTTCAGTACTAAATTCCAGATTTCTCTAATCCTTAGGCAACTAGTTGTCATTTTAATAAAGTGGAGATTCCCTGAATTTAGAAATTGTAAAACAAGATAAATTGTTAAAAGCTGGAACTTTTTCCAATTTTATGTACAAGCTGAGGCTGTTATAGTCATCTTCTCATAGGAGTAATAACAGTTCTATCTAAATTAGATAAAATTATGTGTCATTATTACTACAGACAAGGAAATCAGTTTCCATGGACCTATTTAGCAATATTCATCTATTAATAAATCATTATTACGATTTATTTTCTTGTTTATCTGATACAGCATTTTTAAAGCAGGCATTGTCAACTTCTGATATAAACAGAGTACTCCATAATTACCTCCATTAATTCTTGATTAACAGGAAGAAAAAAATATTGCACCAGTTTTGTTTGGGAGCTTAGTGTAATTCAAGAGAGATGAAACCAAAAAAACAGGTTGAAAAGAAAGATGACACAATCCTTTGCCCTGGCAAAATATATTTTTCTGTTAAATCAAATTGTTGTAAAGAGATTATTGAAGTTAATAATACATAGAGCATGGTTGTTGTCCAGTCTTTTGGCTTGCCCTGGGCCTCATTGAATGAAAAGGAATTGTGTCGGGTTGCATGAAATATATGATGTAGTTTTAAAATATTAAATCACATAATAGTATTAAACATTTACGAACTTATAGGGCCATTTTACTGACTGTCCAGAGCTGCATGTGGCCCATAGGCTGCGGGTTGGATATAGAATGTAAAGAATATAAAATCTCCAATAATAATATATTCTAATAATACATTTTTCTAAATAGAAAATATAGTGCTATTAAAACATGTTCACATGACCCGTAAATTACAATTTATTTTGCAAAATATAAAATAGAAACATTTGTATTATTTATTTGTTTCTTTCAATAAAAAGTAGTTTTAAAAATAATTGATTTTTCCAAATTGTTAAATAAGTTCTATATTTTATCTGATTAGCTATCCATTTGGCATATTTGTTTAAATTGGATATCTGAAACAGTTACATTTAACAGAATCTTATGATATTCTTTTGTGTTGACCTATCTCTGTCCTTTATTCCCCTATCAACAGCAAGCTGTATTATTTTTAAAGTTGCATGTGGACATTTTACTCAGAACTTTGCCCATTCTGTATGCATGAAAACAAATGCAGTGTGGGAAAGTTTATCTAATAAATAAAAAAGGCAAAGTTAGTTCAGTTTAATGAACTAAACAAGGTACAGTCAAAATGTATGGATCCGTTGAATAAATACATATAATAAATTGGTTATTTCTCCTTTCTTGGCATGTGAATACCTAGTTATGTGAAATCATCTATGTCCCTTCATTTGCCTAGCAGAAAGGGAGAGTGAAGATCTGCTACTGAAACACCACTTTCCTATTAGTGGCTTTCTATCATTTTTTTTTAATCCAAATATTTGTCTATGAACTTTGCTTTTCATGCAAACTTTGCCAAGCTGTTTTGGAATTTGAATCCAAGAAAGCAGTCATAATTTATCATACTGTATATTTAATTCAATTCAATTCCAACTGACTCTGGAAAGTTCACAAATAATAATATTAAAACCATACAAACCAATGTTATTCCTTGGTGTACAGAATGTATGTCTATTCCCATTTAATAGTACTGAGCATTTGTTTTTAGTTCCTAGTGCAGGGGTAGGCAACCTTGGCTCTTTTATGACTTGTGGACTTCAACTCCCAGAATTCCTGAGCCGGCTTAGTGTACTTCCAGCTGGCTCAGGAATTCTGGGAGTTGAAGTCCACAAGTCATAAAAGAGCCAAGGTTGCCTACCCCCTATAAGAGTTTCTTATAGGGAAGCTGAATGAACTGAAAATAAAGAAACAAAGCTCTGTAGCAGCATAAATAATAAGTATGATTATATAGTAATACTAGTTCCTGACACAAGTTTTAATTCAGAAATAGAGATGGGGATCGTTTTTACTCCGGGGTGCCACTGACCTTTTTGGATGGGCACTTCTTTATCAGAAGAAAAAGAGCACGTCAGTAGAACTGATTATACTTGTTCATTTTCTTGTCGTTCAAAATATAAGTGACTGCTGTCCTGTATTATTAAGCTGATCCTCATCAATCAGCAAAATAGATTTCAGCCTATAGCAACAAGAAATAAACCTGGTTTTTCTTAAAACAGCTCAAATCTCTACTAAATGTTTAGAAGACAAGCTTTCCACGTGAGGACAACGAAGCATTCTATTGCTTAATGCTACAGAATCGCTTTATTTATTTCTCTGTTGGAAGACAGGCAAAATTATTTCTAAGTTGTACTCTGTATCCAGTTCTGAAATTCTCTGAAGCCCTATAGAGAGCAACCTAATACATGTGTCAGCTGAGACATTTGCAGTGTGGATTTCTGGTGAGAGTAAAATTGTGCTTGCTACTAGTATCCTAACAATACACACGTATAGTCACACACATAGTCTTCAAGTTGATTCACTCATGTTTTAATCTTCTTTCTTGGAACTCTTTTCTACCAAAAGTCCTGATGGTCTCTTAATCTTAACAAACGCATACAGTACAGAAAACAAAATTTCATAACAGTCCAGTATTATAGAATATCCAGAATATTTGAAAGTGTAGTAAGTCAAATGTTGAAATCATGTTTCAAGGAGCTGAATCTAGAACTATAGTGCTTTTTTAAAACAAACAAACAAACAGTCTTAATCTTTGTTTATTTTAGTACAAATAGGTGAAGCAATGCTTTGGCAAGCTGATGTGATCTGGGCTTCGGGTTTCTGTAGATGCCCAGGGCTCAAGCAAATTAAAATTTAAGTCTGAAAATTTAGAAAATGAAAAGTATCCAAAGAAGTGAAATGGGTGAATATGCCATTAGATGTAAAAAAAAAAAAAAGTGTTAAAAGTATACAGTATGCATACAGTACTGCAATGCAGGAGATACTGATCTTAATCTAACAAGAAGAATCCATAGCTGGATTAATAGAGTTCACGCATCACCCCAGTTTAACACAGTAGCTAATCCTGAGTTGAAAAAGCTGGTACTGTCATGGTTCCGACAGATAAAACTCTTCAAAAGAACTTCGAGGCATTGTTTTACCTTAAAGAATCTTTTATTTGAGTAGCATAACATTGGCACTACATAATGGGAGCCAAAAACTGAATTCCTCTCCCCTGGGCACATAGTATCAAAGCACAATTCCCTCTTCCAATTAACTGTCATAAATCGCATTCCCCAATTAGCTTGAAGGGGCTTCATCTCCAGCTCTCCAGCCTGCCAATTCCTTATTAGCTCTGGGCTCAATAACTTTGATTCTCACGCTAAGTTTAGTGTTTATGTCTAGCTGGACTCTCATTCACATCCCCTCCCTCAGCATCATCTAACACTAAAAGCAAAAGGGAAAAAGATGGCTACCTTTCCATCTGTTGTCAATGCAAAACATCCGATGTTAGCAGCATTGACAGGTACCTTATGGAGTCTCTGGGTGGGATCCTTCCAGCTTCTATAGAATTCACTATGTCAGTTGCCAGCTCTCGCATCAGCAGGAGCTACTTTATCACATGACTTCTCTCATTGGATCCAATTAGAAAATATAAATTTCTCACTATGAACAAACATCTCTAATGCCACTATTAAGAACTAATGAACGTACAGATACTCAGCCAATATTGCACACATATGTAGATAACAGTAATCACTTTGCATAATAGCATGTTGAACTCAAAGGCATGGTGCAGTACATTTCAAACACCCAGTACAGGTAGTTCTCAGTTTAAGAATGAGTTTTGTTCCCTATGTCTGTCCTTAAGCCAAATGTGTATGCAAGCCAGAACAGTATTATTGTATAATAACCTTGTAATGAACTTAATCCATTGTATATTTAACTCAAATTTTGCTACAGCAGGCTCCATTCTTAACTATGGATCATCCTGTCACTGGGGTGTTTTTAAGCCTAAGACTTGTTGTACGTATTCAAACCATCTGGTTTTTCCATCCTTCTTGGTAATAGTGCAATCTGCCATGGATGCCCATGTAAGTCTGGCTGACCTCTTAGCTGCTTGATCCCTCTTGAAGCTGCTGGATTGTCTGAATCCATTGTGCTCCTCTTCTTCTGGACCACAATATTCCCTCAAGGGACACAAACTGTGGGCAGCTAATAGGTGAAAACTACCAGCCTCATTTCATGCCACATTGGGCTAGTATGCCAGTCCAGGCACCCTTCTAAGCTGCTGTCTCCCTTGTAGATGAAGGAAGCTATGTATGCCAGCAGGGCACAGAGCAGTTGGGGGGGGGGAGCCATCAGCCTTCTCCCTTTTACTCTTTCTCCATGAATAGTCTTTCCCCGTTTTCTCTCTTACCTCCTTAAGCTACCTCTTAATTTACTAATGTTGGATTTTTTTTCTTCTTGTTTTAAAGTCTGATTATTATTTCTTTTGTCTCTTTAAGCTGCTTCTTAATTCATACTATTTCCTTTTCTTTCTCCTCTTCTTGGCCATTGCTTCCAAACTGACTTTTATTTCTCTCCTTTTTCTCCTTATGGACCTGTTTGTGTCCAGTCTGCCAGTGCCCAGTGGCATCCTACTCCCCTAGTGCCCTAAGTGGACCCATTTCTCAAATTGTAAGTTTTGTTGTTCTCTATTCCTTCAGGAAAGCCTCCCCCTCCCTTCCAGAGGGTTTCTTGCAGGCTTCATGTTGTCTACTGAAAATCCCCTTATCTCCTGCCATGATCTTTATTTGCCTTGACGTCTGTGGAACCTGTTTCTTCTGCTTATGACGTCTTCCATTACAGACCTGTACAACCAGATTCCTAGCACCCAGATTAATGTCCTTGATTTCCCATAGAAAATCCCCACTAGAAGGATTTTGCACCAGGCTTGTTCATTTCTCAATTCTGTTGCAGCTTTCTTCATCTCCTTTACTAATTATATCTGCCAAGCGCCTAGTTATTTACAAAGATTATAATATACTACAACCTCTCTTTTTGTGTTTGTTTTTGTTTTGGCTACTCCTTATCTAACTGTTGAGACTAAGTGATGGGATTTTGTGTTGACAATCTGCCATGGTGGATAAATCTTAAATCAGACAGACCATCACATGAAAAGAAAAAGTCACCATGTTGAGAAATTGCTTTCTTTGCTTTTAATTCACAAAACTCTGAATGATGTATTAAGTTGCTGAGGCAATAAGGAAGTAGTTTTTAATTGGAAAAAAAATGTAGCACTGGCCATTCATTTTTCCTAGCACTGAACTAGTATCTAATGAGTTCAGCAATGGCATTAAGAGAGATAACTAGTTGGGACTGGATTGTTTACTCAGCAAACAAAATACAACTAATAGACATTTTTCTTTTATTTATAGAGTTAGCGATATGAAAGCCATGTCTGACTCATAGTCAGACAAGTAGAAGTTAATAACTGGGTAGTGTTCTTTCTCATGTGACCATAAAAGTATGGGCTTCTGGACGCTGCTTGCAGCCTTGCAGCGTCAGTGTTTGGAATTAGGAGTGACCTGTTTATTCACTGAATTAGCCAATCAAAACAGTCCTGGGTGAACTTCATTCAAGACAAGCAGACACTTTGTAAATGTGTAAATATACCTCCTATCAGAGAGACTTAAGAGGAGCTTGCAAAGGAGACTTGTAGACTGGATTTCTTCATCCTGAAATCTTTGCTTGGGCTTTGGGATTAATACTTCTGATACAATATATATATATAAATATATAGGGATGTCGGAAAGTGAAGATCCTGTCCAGAGTGAGAGGTAGTGTAATTTTACCTTTTGAAAATTGTTTTCTTTAATAAATCAGCATCAACTGAATATTAATCATGACCCTATAGATAAATTTCATTATCTGTGTAGAAATTAATCCAAAACTGTTACATGATGGTGCCAGTACAAAAATACATAGTTTGCTGAATAGGAAATGACTAAGATGATGACATTACATGCTCTAATATGTAAAAAGAAAAAAAAATCAGTCATCCTCATCCTCTTCTGAAGCTACAGTCATAGAAGACTTAAAATGTCAGATATACAGATAATTCTAGTGTAATTCGCTATTGACAGACACATAACTTAACTACTACTAAACTGCTTCTTTGAGAAATATTTGTGGAATACTCCATATTAGAATTTAAATCAACAGGTTTTAACAGGTTTTTAAGACTTTGAGTTGAAGAATATTAGAAAATAACTCATTTTTCTTTGGATTAGAACACCATTTGGAAATAGAATTTGATTTTTAACTAGCCAACTAGCCACTATTTGGAATTATTAATTATTAACTGTCTACGCTGGGGAGATTTGGAGACTTTTGATATGCAAGGATATATAGATGCTGATGTAGTCATCTAATCAGATTTTCTATTAGCAAAAATTAAAATATTACTCCAGCTATTACGAACAGGCATATGCCTTTAACATTCTATTGCTCTTATATTACTGTATTGTATTATAGTATTATAAAATGTACTTAAATAATTGAACTTAACTGAGCCTAGCGTTATAAGATCTAATTGCAAAATATGTCTGATTCGGTTTAGGTTATGAACTAATTTTTATAAATACACATATTTTGATGTCATTATAGCCATTTTTATGATTACAGATAGCCCTTACTTAACAACTGTAATTGGGATTGGAATTTCTGTCACTAAGCAACACAGTTATAAAGCACAATATCATGTGACCATGATGCTTAGTGACAGAATTCCAGCATTTCCAGTTGCCATCATTAAGCAAATTCCCCCATGTCATTAAACAAGGACTTGCCATTTGCAATCCTCTGCTGTCTTCCCCACTAACTTTGCTTGTAGGAAGCCAGCAAAGGACGCAAATGGTGATTGCATCACAGCAGGATGCCACAGCATAATTGAGAGCCAGGCAATGAGTACCCAGATTGCGATCACATGATCAGGGGGATGCTGCAGTCAACATAAGTGTAGGAACTGCTTGTAAGTACTATTCATTCAGCACTGTCTTAAGTTCAGGTAGAAGCTGAATGAGTGGTCGTTGAGCAAGAACCACATGTACTTTAATTATTAGCATTTAAGATGAGTCCAGTTTGCTCCCATGCCTTCTAATAAAAACACAGAATACAAACAAAACAATACTTGCTGCATCAGATATTCTTAATGTATTCTTGATCATGTCCTGATCATGAGAAATGAATTGGATATCCAGGTGTGTTGGTTATTAGGACAGGCTGATGGTGTAAGTTACTACTTATTTACATAAGTAACATAGGGTGACTATATTATTTTTCCTGAAATTCCCATTTCTCCTTTTACTCATTTTTCATATGAAACAGTTCAGTAAAATTGAGCAGAATGAGTACAATGAAGACATCTACATTGGCCTCCTTCTTTTCCTCCTGACTCTACTTTTATATACTATTTATATTATTAAGGATATCTGCCTCGGTTTCTCCAGCGGTTTTACATTTCAAATGCAGTCAGGTCCAGCTGGAATGTTTTGTTAGTGATACACAAGTGGCTATATCATATATGTTTTTTCATAGGCAAGGGTGTAAAAAAATCATTTATGGAAATTAAGACATAGTAAATATTCAGGGTTATGATGCTTCCCTTGCTAGCCTGGAAACTTCTGCTAGCACCGAAAACAATGGCTGAATCTACAAAGAACTTTCAAGATTATGTACATGAGAAAATATGAAAAAAAAGCCAGTAAGGTAGTCCTCAACTTATTTGTTTAGTGACCGTTTAAAGCAGTGGTTCTCAACCTGTGGGTCGGGACCCTATTTGGGGTCGAACAACCATTTCACAGGGGTCACCAAACCATGCTGTCCGCCATTTTTTTCCCTTTTCCCTAGCTGTCCTACTCCCTCTTATTGGTGGCCACACCCACTTGGGGGTCACCACAACATGGGGAACTGTATTATGGGGTCACGGCATTAGAAAGGTTGAGAATCACTGGTTTAAAGTTACAACCGCAATGAAAAAAGTAACTTACAACCATTTTTCACACTTATGACTTTTGTAGCATCCACATGGTCACATGATCAAAATTCAGACACTTGGCAATTGGCATACATTTATGACAGATGCAGTGTCTCTCAGTCATGTGATGACCTTTTGCGACCTTCAGAGAAGCCAAGTCAGTGGGAAGGCCATATTAACAACCATTTTACTAACTTAACAACTTCAGTGATTCACTAACAGCTGTGGCAGGAAAGTCATAAAACGGGACAAAACTCACTTATCAACTGTCTTGCTTAACAACAGAAATTCTGGTCTCAATTGTGGTTGTAAGTTGAGAACTATATATACATGATGCATATAGCAGGGATGATCCAACTTTCCTCAGATTTTTAAGGATCGTGGTCAGTTATCTGCTAAATATGCAGTACCAAATGGGAAACATTACAGGACATTGCAAGACCATAGATTAGAGTGATTTTTTTTTTAATAATTCCTGGGGATGACAAAGTAGATGTATTTTATGTTATGTAAACTTGCCCATATACAGTAGTTACCAGAAATCAAGTTCAATTCAAAAGGTACCCATATGTAGGTGGTTTAAAAGTTCATTAGGTGCACAATAGGATATTATATACACACAAACTTCTGTCAGCAGAAACATTTTTCTGTACAAAACATGAATTTTAATCTAGGCAAAAAATAATTGAAAAATGATTGAAAGGCTCTGTAGTATGTCAGTGTCCTGTTCTAATTTCTATATATCTGATCTCTTTTCAACAATTCTAGTACCATATATGCCGGCGTATTAGGCGACCCGGCGTATAAGACGACCCCCGTCTTTGTCGCCGAGCCACATTCCTAGAACGTCGTCTTATATGCCGGAAACTACTAGTATTTCCGGCGTATAAGACAACTCGGCGTATAAGACAACCCCCGTCTTTGGCGCCAAGTTTAGCGCTTCCGGAAGTCGTCTTATACGCCGGCATATATGGTAGCTTAAATTATATAATTATCAAATGAATTTTTAGTTGCTTTCGCATTTAAGAAATATAATAGCCCATTCACTACCAGAGTTTTCTTATGTAAAGTTTTGATTGTCATCATGGAGGAATATGACTCAGAAAGATATAGGATATTTACTGGTAATGTTGCAAACCTTAGACTGCTTTCCTGGAACTTGAGCAAGCAGTTTTGTGCTGTAACTTGACTCGTATATGCATTTAGTTGACTCTAAGTCCAATTTAGCTTCAGCATTTGTTCTTTTGAGACAACCTAAACCAGTGATGGCGAACCTTTTAGAGACTGAGTGCCCAAAAACTGGCCCCGCCCCTGCTTCCCCATGCCCTGCCCTCACTCTGCCCCCCGTCGCCCGCCCCACCTGCCCACAGGGCCACTCACCACCTCCAGGGCACACCGCAGATCGCCCAGGCAGCCCAGCAGCGCTATTGCGGTCATGCCCTCTGCCCGCGCCCCGCAGCATCAACTGTGCACGATGGGACGTGAGGGCAGAGTCTTGTCTATGCTGCCTGGCTGCCATGTCCTTGGCTGCGCTGCTCCGCATGGGCCACACTCAAGGGTGACTCTCCTTCAGGGAGACTGCTGGAGAGAAGGGGGTTGCAGGGGAGGCGAGGCTGGGGCAACGGCACATGTGCCCATAGAGAGGGCTCCGAGTGCGACCTCTGGCACCTGTGCCATAGGTTCGCCACCACTAACCTAAACTCTAACTCTGGACTTACCTGGCTTTTGTGCTAAATTATCACTATCATTGTAGTTAATATGCATTTGTTCCTTCAATAAAAACACTCTATTTTCTTTTCCAATAAAGATCATAGCGAATTGGGTATTGGACCACTTTGTTATAGTAGTTTCGCTCCTACTTGCAGGAACAATATCAGGTTCATAGGCTGTGTCTACACCCTAGTAGCTGTGATATATCAAACTACAAGGCACAATTTGTTCTAGTGGTGTTTAGTATCTATATGAAACTGCCAGGGACAGTCAAGGATTTAGGAACTGGGTGTCACCTATATGTTGATACCATTCATATCTACTTCTCCATAGTTTCTGCATTGGGAGAGATTGTGCCCATCCTGAAATAATGCCTGGATGTAGCAATGGGGTGGATAGCCAACAAAGCGATAGTCAACAAAGCGATGCTAAATCATGACAAGATGGAGATTTTGTGGGTGGGTAGTTCCTATATATAGTACTTAAAGAATTAATTTTTTCCAAATGGGTTAGATTGTGGGGGCGGTGTTCTTACAGTCATCGCTCTTATTGGAAGCCCGAGACTTTGTGGCCTATTGACAGGGTCAATCAAATTACAAATGGATGGTAAGTTGGTAACTTCCTGTTTACATTGTTTTGCCATTACATCTTTGTTGAAGCAATTTCATTGGTTGCTGATTAGCCACCAAGCAACATTCAAGTTTTTGTTTATGACATCCAAGTTACTAAACAGCTTGGGATCATGTGAGCCTGTCAAATCTCCTTTGCTGTTAATAGATTTTGTCATTCATTGAGATCCTTGGGAGAAGCCCTGCCAAGGTAATGAGTCAACAATAACAAACCCTTTCTGTGGTAACAATTTCATGCACTTCTAACAAAACTTCTGACCAATATTATAGATTAAATAATGAGAATATAAGCACACTGAAAATAGTCTAGAGGTGAGTTGCTATATGTGTGTTATTTATGAAGTTTATAGGCTATCCCAGAGGTGTCAAACAGCCGGCCCATGGGCCGGATTGCGCCCACCTCATTGTGGGCAATGGAAAAAAAGTCGTGATACGTCATATGACATTGCAAGTTTGACACCCTGGGCTATCCTAATCTGTTATGATTGTGGACAGTAAGTAGGTATACTATAAAAAGCAAACCTCATCAAACATATGGGTGAGGGGGGGAAACAATTGTTTAAAAGAACAGAAGTAGAAGATGTCCATCATTCTCTCTAACCTAAGGTTAAGGATAGAGCCAAGTGTTAAGGGCCATATGAATACCAAGGGGCACAATGTTCCAGAGGATAGGCATCACAATAACAAGCTTACCCCTCTATGATTTTAGTGAGACTTCTGTAGCTTAGCTAAAGTTTATAGACAGTTGGATATATTTCACAATACCCAATTTGTGTTTTAAAGTATTCTTTTGCACGCTAATGGCAAATAACCATAATTTTAAAAAAAATCTGTGTTAAAATATGCTTAATTTTAATCCCATGAATATGCAGCATTTTACTGCTTTGTATATATATTTGTAGTATAAGAAATGATGATGCTCTGTTACTTGAACATAACTCAGGGACAAGGCAAGTCTAGATAATTTAGAGTTCAAAAGACTATTGCTTCCACTATCCTTTAACAGCATCATTTGTAGTTTGTGTTAAAACAGTCTTTCAGTAAGCGTCAGGAAATATTAATGGGATTAGTCATGCATTCAAATCAAGAAAAAAATAAAATACTTGGTGTTATTATACTGCTTTAGTATTTAGTGAACACTAAATGCTGGTTTGCTGGCATGAAAATGAGTGCTTAATGGGTGAACAAATGGAACAGGGAAGTCATTATTTAAAATTTGTTGGTCAGCAATTAGCCATTTCTGCTCTTGATTGGATATCCACATGACATAATATATCCCTTGCCTGTGCTTTCCTATCTCATGACTGGCAGAAGTGCAGGGACCAAAATGTTTTAATATTATGAATTACAGTGGCTGCTGCTAACTGCTACTATTTTACAAAGATTCGGGACATGCAAAAGCCTCTTGCAGTAATATCAGATGATTTACAGTACATCACATATTTTCACAGAATCAAACTATTGAAAATTATTTAAATGCTCGTGCTCTGCGATTGGTTTATTAGTAATAGTACAAGGATTGAAACAGTCTTGTCTCTGAAACAAAGATATATAAGTTTCAGGGAAATTTGCCACAGATTCAACAGCTGTATAATTTAATGGGCAGGGACAGCAATAAAGAATTTGTCTTTCTATTAAAATATTTTGAAGGGAGCTTTAGAGTGTATGAATGAGAGGTTTCATCAGGACAAATAGAAGTTTCAGGAGTTTCCCACATTCAATTAATGTTTTCCTGAGGTATAACCAAGTCCATGGTCCTGGTACTGTCTCTTTTTGTTGCTTTTCTTGTACTTTTTATGAATATGAGGCCTAGGCATGATAGATTATCCTCTTTGTTCCCATGAGACCCAGTACAAGTGGGAATAACTATTTTCTCCCTTCAGCTCTTATTTCTTTACTTGTTTTTCTGTGTTCAGCTAAGATTTTAAAATATCCATTAATTCACAGGAGAGAATGGATTTCCAGAGAAGTAAAGTCTACTGAGGTAAAGAATATGACAAAGGAAGCAAATAAGACTGTGTCACTAGATTAAGAGTTGATTGTTCATCTCTCAGTCCTGAGACAATTACCTAGAGTTGTTGATATAACCGGAAGCTAACTACTAACATTTGTTTATGTTTTTATAATCCCTTATTTGCCACATCATGCTATTAATTCACTTTAATGTGGAGTAAAGCAAGGGCATCATTTATGAGTACTGTGACGAATTCATGTAACTACAAAATTGTGGGAAACCTCAGGAACACTTCCTTCTTTCTTTCTCTTTCTTTCTTTCTTTCTTTCTTTCTTTCTTTCTTTCTTTCTTTCTTTCTTTCTTTCTTTCTTTCTTTCTTTCTTTCTTTCTTTCTTTCTTTCTTTCTTTCTTTCTTTCTTTCTTTCAGTAACATGAGATGTCATTGACCTTTCTAAGAAAAACCCAGTGTTTATTTTGCCTGGAGCAGATGTCAGGTTACACACTGGCAGCATGAGAGCATTAGTCATTTTCAGAGAACCTGATGGAACCGAATCTCCTGGTCAGCATTTGGAACTGTGATGGGCTGCAGCATCTGCTTGTCTTAACTGCTAGGAGACCGTTTGGGCATGAGGCACTTCAGCCCTGAGTTAAGCAGCTCTTTCACCACAGAACAAAGCCAGAAGCTTAGGGGAAAACATTCTTGTTTGGCTCCATCTGCTAAATATTTCTATTGGTATGAACAAGTGTAGTCTCTCAAGTTGGACAGGATTAGCTTAGAATAGACATGCAAGGAAATGTCACTAAATTACCAAAGGTCTGTCCACAAAAAGGAAAATTGGAAATAATTGGCACTGACATAGGCAGCAGGACTCTATTTTTAATACATAATGGAAGAGGCAGTTGTTATTATTGTTTTCTTGTTATTGTTGTGGTCTTCTTGGTGTTTGCTTGCAAAGGTTTTATTAGCCAACTAAGTAACATCATCAGTATTGTTATTATCTATTAACAACAATATAAAGTCACAGCCACCAGTTGATTAGCTAGTGTTGGTTTTCATAACCATCAAATTCTTCTCAAGAACCTGGGATGTCATAATATATCAATATAGCATATGTGTGGATCCAAGCAGTGTGGCCTTTTATAATTGACAGGTGGAAATTTTGTCAATCCACAGATTTTCTAACTTCTTGCACAAGCTTATGAACTACTTTTCTTCTGCTTCTTTGCATAATCTGCACTTGTAATCATTTGATGGTTATTTTCTTATCTTGATTGCATTAGTTTAAATAGCCTGCTCTTGAGCAGCCAAAACCAAGCCTTCAGTTTCTTTGTTTAATGTTCCGTTGTCAGGTTTTATCTTTGTCCAGTTTCCCTAAAACCATTTGTTAGAAATTGACCATATAATTCTTTTCCTTGTCAGTATCCTGCGTTTTATTGCATTATTTTGATATTCCTGTTCTGTTTCCTCATTCAATAAGTTCTAATTTTTAAATTACTATTATGGCTAGAATCTTTAGTGTATGCTGTGGCCTTTTGGGTGCCTATCTTTCACATCACCTCTGATGTATTTGGGGTTAATAAGTGGTCCTATGTTTAGTACTGTACAGAATACCTGTGTATCTTGGAACTCATAGTTCTCATAAGTCCAAACTTAAGTAATGAGTTTTGTGCATATTACGTTGGATGTAAAGCCACCAACAAGGTGATATTGGTATGAACTGATACAATTCTGCCATCCACTCTGTTTCATCTGTCATTTTTTTAAAAAAAAAAAATCAGATGCTTTATTCTATTCGAGGAAAGGAACGAAATGGGCCATTTTAATATTACATTTTAAAACAGCTGATCATATTTGCACATGTAACACAATATTCCAATAAGTGAAGAAGAGAAAAACTAAAGACACAAGAGTCTGTGTTTGGTTTCACATTTGGTTATGATCAGATAGAAATAGTTGAAAAAAATCATTGCCCTTATCAAATGCCTTGTGAATTCTAATCAGTACTCTTTATCTGAAAAGAAACTATAATACAACTATATCGCTGTGGAAGAGACACTTTGTTATCTTAATATATTAGCAGCAGTATAAAGTTTAGTACTATCCTTAACTATGATAATTTAATTTGTTTGTGCTATCTCTTATTAATACTAAATTGTAGCTCTTCCTGCAGTGCACATACTGTAGGAATAGAAACTGTAAACCTAAGTTTATAAGGTGTTTACTCTTCTTAGTGCTAAGAGCAGAGAATATGTGTAGGGCCAATCCTGCCCCAAGCTTACAAAAGCCCTGAGAGTAGCTTTTGAAGGAGCAGGAACAGAAAGAAGAATAGCAAGGAACATACCTTTAGAAAGCAAAGTAGATGGATTAATTTGAAGGATTTAGATATTAAAATTAGAGAAAATCACTAGTCAAATGATGGTAAGTAGATGATTAATTAAAGGGTAGGCAGGCAAAATAAAGTTAAGGTAGGTCATATTCAACAAAAGAGCAAAGATTGTTACTAAGAGCTTTTGATTTATTTTTCAGGAAGAGAAAGAGGTGGGTGTAGATCTGGACTACATTTAATCCCAGATTTCTGAGGTCATACACCGAAATTCAGTGGCAAACCACCAAATGACAGTGGTAGAATGTTCTTGTTTTTTAAATATGAAATAAAATTTTAAAATGGAAGAAATTTGGGTAACAAATTCCAGCCTCACCTGTTCTAGTGACACCATTATATGCTTCATCATTTTCTATGATTCTAAATTACAGGGGTATTTTTTTTTTAATAGACGTGAAACCCTCCTTCCACAGTTCCAATAGTCTCCTGAATTGTAAGATTTTTCCTGGGACGTCCACAATTAGGTAGCAGTTATATTGTTCTCTGTAGAATATATTCTTATAATAACATTTTTCATAAATTTCAGGAAATATTTTATCTCTGAAGCTAAAAAAAAAAATCATGTGCCAAATAAAATCTGGCAATCTCATTCCAATCTCTCACAATGGCATATATTATATAAGAAATAGTAAGGAGAATTAATTAATTTTAAGAAATAAGAGTCTATACATTTCTGCAAGTGTAGAGAATATTTTCATTAGAAAACCCATGACATCATGTTTCTTTGTTCATTTGTCTTTTTCAGCTACCAGGTCAGTGAGTCTGAATCTGAAAATCGCCTTAGATTGAACCAGTGTATAGAAGAAGCAATGATGAGTTTCTTTTTGTTCCTCCAAGAAATGTCTCATTTTAAAGAACAGAACCCTGGCAAGGTAAAATTAGGCTTGAAATATCTTCCATTTCATTTCACTGACTTTTTTTTTACTTTTGGCAATATTCTTAGGTAAAAAACTTAACATTCCAACCTATGTGTATGCTGGATTAGTAAATAAATTGAATTAATATTAGGGAATGCCAGACCCGTAAACTAGATTATGAAGTTAAAAACATCCTGGAAGATGGCAACAGCAAAGGACTTTTGTTCTGTTGCTAAAAAAGAAAAAAAAACAAACCTTACATAGATACATCCATGAAATCATCAGCAAGGAATGGTGGAAAACAGCATGACCCAAAATTCCTGATCTCAAACCACATTGATAATACACTACACCTATTCGAATGGTAAGGAACAAAAATCATTGGACATGCCACCACCCACCACACACGTGAATTTTTTGAGGCCTGGTATTCTACCAAAGGAACAATTAACAAGCATATTGATTTAGATCCAGCATATAACCAGACCATTCGAACTGCCAATCAACAAGAGAATCAATCAGCCGCTCAGAATTTAAATTTAGCTCCAAATGAACAACTAATTGCATGACCAACTGACTACACTGGCACACAAGATATTTATAAACTAAGGAGAATAGGACAGGAAAATTATTTTGATGATGTTACCTAGTTTGGTAATGAAACATTTAGAAACTATATTGAAACAAGCTTGGAGAGCAAACCACTATCAAAATCTAAAACCTGAGCTACAAGTATTTTCTATTATTTCAATGGTGGAAAAGATTTATCTTTTCACATAGCTCTGTATAAGTAAATCATATTAACTTCAATAGAACGTAGTATTATAGGCATGCAGTATAAGAAATTATGAAATTCTTTATAGTAGCATTAACAATAAAAAAGTTGTCCAATTGAATGATTAAACACAGACAAATATTCCAAGGCATTTGTATGAAATAGTAATATATTGTATATATGCAGCCCCCCAAAAACTTTAATATCCACTGAAGTGTTGCAGAGGGTGCTAGAAAGTCAACAAGAGCCATGGTGGTAGAGTTATTAGAATGCACTAATCCAGTTCTGCTGAGTGCCAATTGTCAGCAGTTCAGCAGTTCGAATCTCACCAGCTCAAGGTTCCATCCTTCCAAAGTTGGTAAAATGAGAGCCCAGATTGTTGGCAGCAATATGCTGACTCTGTAAACTGCTGAGAGAGGGCTGTAAAGCACTGTGAAGTGGTATATAAGTCTAAGTGCTATTGCTATGATCCTCGGTTGTGCTTAACGTTCGTACCCCAATTCTGCATATAATATTTTCTTCTGCACCTTTGTATCATATAGTACTGCTTGAAGTGTTGAGATGTTCTAAGCTTAATCACAGTAAGACTTCGCAAATTGTTTTCCTGCAAGATCTAGAAATAGTGCATCTTTATATGAAATCAGACGTCCTATTATTTTTTTGTGGGGGTTTTTTTTTTTTTTTTTTGGTCTGTTGGGGCTCCCCTCTACATAATAAATAGATAATGTCTCTATAATGGGCTTTCTGTATATGGACATTTCCAAAATAGTGTTTGTGCCCAAAGAGGGTACACCAAGCTAAGGTTAAAAATAGTAAGGAGTCACATAATTTCTATATTTCATCACCCCCACCCAACTAACCTAATTGAGAATTGTACACACATACTATATATATCTCATAATACTAAAGAGTATCTGAAAAATCAAAGTGCTAGTGGTCAGTTATCTTCATAGCCAATTCACAATTATCTTCATAGCCAATTTAAGAACTATTATTGTAAACTCTCATGCCACAGTGCTAGGATTCTCTTCGTGACTGATCCCCTAAACTAGAGCCACTAAGCAGAGAGTGAACTTCAGTAGCAGAAGACACCTTTGATTATTTCTATTCCTATTTTTGAGGAAGAAAGGAAAAGGACAAAACAAAATTCCTTTGTTTTTCCCTATGCTTTTCCCATTTACAATATATAATCCAGATTCTGTTCCAGTCTGTTCTCCCTAAAACGTTTCCAACTAGAAACGTTTTAGGGAGTTGGAACAGTTTCCAACTGTTTTAGGGAAGAAGAAATTCTGATGAAACATTTTACAAGTCCAGTCTCAGGACACATTAACAGATTTATATGTTATAGGGTACTGAATGTTACCGACTAATTTAATTCATGCTTGTCTTTTTAAAAAACAGTTTTGCCTTCTGGTCTGCAGCATATGCACATTCTTCACAGTGTTGGGAAGTTACATTCCTGGAATTGTACTCTCCTATCTTCTATGTAAGTTCTTTCAAACACAGAAAGAATTGGGTCTGGGATTTCTTTGGTGGCATCATAGATGCCCAATGCAATATCTAACCATGGTCACACAGTATTCATAATTGCAATAAGATGTGCGCTAAGAAGAAAAAAATTACATTTTCCTCATTGTATTGTGACTGAAGTCCTGAGAAATACAATTACCGCTGAAGGTATTTGTATAATATTATGCAAATGTATAATATTTGTATAATACAGCCTTGGTGGTGCAGTGGCTAGAATGCAGTATTGCAAGTAGAAAGCAGTATTGCAAGCTAATTCTGCCAACTGCCAGCAGTTTGATTCTCACTAGCTCAAGGTTGACTCGACCTTCCATCTTTCCGAGGTGGATAAAATGAGGACCTAGATTGTTGGGGGCAATATGCTGACTCTGTAAACCACTTAGAGAAGGCTGTAAAGCACTGTGAAGTGGTATATAACTCTAAATGCTATTGCTAATATGTTTCAGTGTAATAATTTGAAAGTCCTTTATAAAACAAATAAAACAATTAATTAAAAGGTTACTGACAAATTAAAGTACTTTTATTAAATTTGATTTCCTTACAAATTATGTTGATGCACTTCTAATGAGTGCGTGTTCCTCTAAACAATAGTCTTAATTTCAATCAGAAATGCATACAATTCCATTGTTAGTATTCAGATGACTGCACATAATAAACATACCAGTCATTTGTGCAACAATTATGTAGGTGTATTTATTTCCATGTTATAACATTATTATTCCAGTTTTGCAGATTAAGACTGATAACCAAAGCTTGCCAAAGGTCATTTAGAATTTATAGTCATCTGACCTTTAACACTAGCTGTTAAGTATGAATGTAACTACCTTTTCCCCTGAAAATCTGCAAATTGTTTTTATGTAACTTAAACTGATACATAGTTATTTATAACTATGAATATGTTTCAAAGCAGTGTGACTCAAAAGTATAACATTCTGTATAGTAATTTATTCTTTCTTTGACAGTATTATGTGCCTTTTTATGTCCATTCTTCAAGTGTAATGAATTTGGACAAAAGGTATATAGCCACATTAAGTCATATCTGCTGAAACTGAACTTTGGAATACAAGACTTTATCAACCAAAAGTTAAAAGAGAGAGCAGGTGAGCAACTGGCAATTTCAGCTTCCTTGATGAATATTATCCACTGAAATATGCAATTACAAAAATATTCTTAGCATCTTTATGAAAGATAAAAATAAAGCTCCAAAACCTAATTATATTTTATTTCCTATAACAATTCATGATCTTTCCATGTAAAATGCCATATATATAAGTAGACAGATATAAAGCTCATGCACCTGATCTGCTGATTTTAGATGCAAATTGGGGCTGAACGGCAAAACTGAGTTGTAATTACCTTTTTATCAGTATAGCAAATAAATAAAAATAGAAACACTTGACTGGCATAATAAGCAAAAATTGTTAACTGATATACTCTTTTTTCCTCCCAGAAATGATCAAAACAAAACCAAGTGAGGATGACAGTGAACTAGACTTATCAGCTTTATGCCCTAAGGTTGGTTGGTTCTTACATCACTTTTTTTTTTTTTTTAAAAAAAAATGTTTTTTTGATGACAGTGAAGCACATGAACTTTTATTTGCTTTCACAGAACAAATTTCTGCTCTATCCCTTTATAAAAATGAGATGGAATTCTAGAATAAGCTAACCTTTGACTACTGAACCACGCACTCGGTGCAATTTTTTTCCACATAAATATGTACAGCATTGCAGAATAAAAAAAGAAGTTACATTTTTGTCTAAATCTCTTGATCTAAGAAGGTTGTCTTTAAAGGAAAAAAAGTAGACCTAAATATATCAACATTTAAATATTTGTTGGTATATCTCCATCGCCTAAATAAAAAAGCAACTGTTCTCTCTCTAATGACAGCATCATGCTTATGGTGTTTAAAATGATATGTATTGAAGCAATATTTAGTCTGCAGTATGTTTGATAGTTTGATTTTTTTCAATCTACAGGTTAGCTCAGCAACTGCAGCCAAAGAGATGTCTGTATCAGACACTGATATCTCAGAGATATCTTGGACTGACAATGGAACTTTTAATTTATCTGAGGGAAACACTCCACAGACAGACACATCCGATGGTATGCTCTGCTATTTTGAATTCTTCCAGATTTTACCAAGTTGTTAATTGCAGATTACTTTTAGCTATCTAAAGTAAAAAAGAACCCTACCATGATTCTCAAATACATGCTTAACTTTCCTTGAAATCTACATGTTAACTTCTAAATTTGAAAAAGGTTTTCATGCAAACCCATTGAGGTTAAACAATAATAGAAATACACACACATAAACCCATTAGAATGTAGACTGGCGTAAAGACTGGCAAATCTGAAAAGTTAAATATAAATAAATTTCATTTTACAGTTAGTGGCCATTAGTTTCATTCATCTATCTATCTATCTATCTATCTATCTATCTATCTATCTATCTCCAACACGTTACCCTGTTTGTTTGTTTGTTTGTTTGTTTGTTTAATTTGTATAGCCAAACCAGTGACTCTGGGTGGTGAACAATCATAAAAACTGTTAAACAGAACAGAAACAAGAAATTAAATACCGATACCAACCAGCAAATATTATAATCCATCAATATCAACATAACCAGGAAATGGAGCCCTTTACACACTTGGAAACTGAGGCCCAGGTACATAGCCAGGTCTGTGAAGTTTTCCAAAAGGCCAAAATTTTCAGGGCATCCTAATCTCAGGAGGGAGGATGTTCTAAAGGGCATGTCTCCTTATCCCTGCCAGCCAGCATTCTTTGGCTGACGGGCCAAGGGTACGTATTCTGCAAGATGGAATTGGATGGGTAGAAACAACTGGGAGAATATAGCCCCTCAGCTAACTCAGCCCAATGCCATGAGGGACTTTAAAGATGACAACCAGCACCTTGAATTGCACCCAGAAACACACTAGCAACCAATGCAGCCCATGGAGCAATGTTACACGTGCTTAACAGCCAGCACCATTTACAACCCACGCAGCTGTATTCTGTACTAGCTGAAGCATTTGAATGCTTTTCAAGAGCAGCTTTAACTGCAAAATGGAATGTATTTATTGATATTTAACTCTTGAGGCCTGTCAGTCTTTATGCCAGTCCTCTTGCTTCCCTTTCTCTCCCTCTCCTCAAAAATTTATGATATTGCAGTCTGTATTTGGATAAATAGATGTCCTATCCTGTTAACTGACAATTTAATTCACTGTGGATCAAGCCTTTTTTAATGGATTTAAGCCTTATGTTTTCATTTCTGAAGGTTGCTGAAACTGAACTTGTTTTTTGTTCCTTTTTTGTAAAAAGAAAATTGTTCAGCATCATACCTCAGAAAGAAAACTTAAGGTTATGGCTGCAGTTGTGGCGATTGATTTATAACCACATGTCTTGTTCGCCCTTCAGTAGATTTTGATCGGCCAAGTGACCACGAGGAAGCTTTTGCAAAGGATCTTGCAGAATTTCCATCTATAGAAAATGGTGCTGGAACAAACGATGATGATGATTCAAGCATTGGCTTGCCAGTTCAGCATAAGAGAAAAAAAGCTCATCCCCCAACCCCATTGGACCAATGTCACAGGCAGGATAAGGAGAGGCACTCTGCAGCAGGCCTTTCCTTGTCTTTGATCAACGACCAGGCCTTCAGCTTGGTGACAGCAATTGCTGGTGATGTTGTTACATCGGTGGTATCAGCAGCCGTCAGAGAACAGTTGCAATCTGTGCAGGAAGTCCCAAGTATAAGTGAAGAGGCAGATGCAGAAGAAGGAGATGATTTTGAACTGCTTGACCAGTCAGAGCTTGAACACATGGAAAGTGAACTGGTACCTACCAAAAGCCCAAAGGCGGAGCCACAGGAAAAGAAGAAGTCTTCAGGCTTCCTCTCAAATCTGCTTGGTGGGCATTAATGTGAAAGGAGAAGCTGCTTAATAGTGTATCGACATAAATACAGACAATGTGAAATGCAAGGAGAGAAATTATGAGCTGTAAGCTTTGTCTATTATTCTAGATGTGCTGTAACATTCTTCATGCGGAGTGAACTAACAATGTTTTAGATCAATTGATGCTGGTAGCTTTGTTTCTGATAGTGATGCCATAGAAATGAAATCACATTATTTTCATTCACAGCAATTTAAAAGGCTTCTTTTACAAATGTAGCTTAGTTTTGGCCGTTGCCAAATCTTTTGTCACTTTCAGCCTATTTGTTCTTTGTTTCCCCCCCCCCCCAAGCATTTTGGCAGCAATATTTATTTCAGGGTTAGAAAATATCTGCAAAATTCAAAAAGCCATCATATCCTATATGTGTCTTCTATGTAGCAGAGTATGCAAACCTTAACAAGAATCTGAACACTTTTGCTGCCATCATCTCTAACATATACATTCTCTAGTTGGATAATCCTTGTTTGTATTATCTGTCTGAAACTCAGTTATTCATATGAGCTGGCTAAAGAAGGCCGTGCCATTTTAAACTGTATCCTTAAGAGGCCTTGGAGTTAGGCAAAATATCCATATCCCATGTACCATCACTCACTTTGTACAACTACTTGTAGCACATGTATCTGCTGTGTGGAGTTGAATTTAGGTTGAGCAGGAATTAATTAGAAAAAAATTCAAAACTGAAATTGAGTTGGCAATTTTTATTTTCAGTTCCATTAATTTAAAATTGTTTAGTCTTATAATTACAATATAAAATCATACAACTGATTTATTTTTGAAAGACTACTGATATAGAAGAAATAAAAATATTCCTGGCATATAAATATAAAATACTGCTAATTTTAGCACATTGAACACCCTATAGTTCCCTCTGACAAGAAACTTAGTAAATATTCTATTACGCATTATGATTTATCTTTAAAATTGAGGGCAACAGGAGTGCCTTATCAACGTGAACCAAATTTTAAAAAGGAATAGCTTTAACATGCTTTGACTGGCATGTTAAAAGAGGCCAGCAAACTGAGGGACCATATTAACTGCTCTGATTTATCTCAAACGTCTAGACATTTTTACTGGCATTCTAATCAGTATACATAGTAATGGTGTGAAGTTATGAACTAAAGGTGCAGTTTGAAGAGAAATTTATTTTCTTCCTGCTATTTTTATTAGGTAACTTGCAAAATAAATGTTGCTTTGCAACATGCAGACCTGAGCAAAATGTTAGGTTAGTTCATTCTCAAGTCTTCTCTCTCTTTCTACCTTCTGTAAACATTTAGTAAAGTCTACATACTCAAGGCTACACTAATCCAGTGCCAGTTCTAACTCCAAAGCAGATTGTTCTCCGATTTCTGCACATCTTTATCAAATGTTACTGTGCTTCAGATGTGGAAGTGTAGAGAAATACTTGGTTGCAATCCCTCAGAGTGAAAACAGAACACAGAGATCTAGAAGGTACTACAGGTAATCCTTGCTTAACGACTACCCTCTTTAGTGACCATTTGTGCTTAAAACTAACTTTATATCACAGCATCCCCATGATCACATGATCAAGCTACAGGCACTTTGCAGTACCTAGGCCAGGGATAGGCAACCGTGGCTCTTTTATGACTCATGGGAGTTGAAGTCCATGAGTCATAAAAGAGCCAAGGTTGCCTACCCCTAAATTCTAGGCCAAATATTCCATTGTCATATGATCACCATTTTTACTTCCAATAAACAGAGACAGTGGAATAAAATTGCAAGTTACTGTCACATAATATCTCGCTTAATGACTACAATAGTAGAAATGGTCAAGTGATGTCTTCTTTAGTGACCATGTCATTCAGTGATGAGGTTGCCAGCCTTAATTCTGGTTGTTAAGCAAGAACTTACTGTACAGGTAGTCCTTGACCTATGACCACAACTGAGCCAAAGCAAGACATTTTTTAAGTGAGTCACATCCCATTTTCAACTTTTTTTGCCACAGCTAAGAAAATCACTCCTGTTGTTAAGTGAATCATGTGGTCGTTAAGTGAATCTGGCATCCACCATTGACTTTGCTAGTCAGAAACCACTGGGAAGGTTACAAATGGTGATCACATGACCTTGGGACAATGTAACTAATAAATACATGCCAGTTGCCAAGTGCCCAAATTTTGATCCCATGACCATATGAAAACCGGTCATAAGTCACTTTTCAGTGCCATTGTAACTTCAAATGGTCATTAAATGAATGGTTGCAAGTCAGGGACTTGTAATTTAGTATATCACATCAGTTCTGCTTTTTATTATTAAAAATGTTCCTTTCACTTTTTTAACCTAGAATAACATAGGAGAAAGTGGTTTTAAACTCATGGAAAGATGGGTATTGTCACCTAACCATAAGCATGTTTACTCCAAAGCCTTAGAAGGGGTGTGATAGTAAGCAATCCTCTTAGGGTAGCTATGCTGGCTCAGGATTTCTGGGAGTTAGAGTGCAGTACTGCAGGCCACTTTAGCTGACTATGTTCAGCAGGTCAGTGGTTCAAATCTCACCGGCTCAAGGTTGACTCAGCCTTCCATCCTTCCGGGGTAGGTAAAATGAGGACCCAGATTGTTGGGGGCAATGTAAATATATATATATATACATTGCTTACTGGTGTACACCGCTTAGAGAGTGCTTGCACTTAAAGCGGTATATAAGTCTCATAAATAAAATAAATAAATAAATAAAAGAGCTAAGGTTGCCTACTCCTGGGGTAGCCAAACACCCCAGAAATTTCAATACAGTTGACTTTTCTAGGTCATCTCTGTTGATCTATAGCTACTTTGTTTTACTGACAGTCCCAATGGAAATGTTTGTACATGAACATTCAGGCCACCTTGGAAAATGTTCAAAGCAGATATGTGAAGCCTTTTGTGTATAGTTGCCTCAAAGTTTTGGGAATGGTTTGTTCAAATCAATGTGTTTTGCAGTGTCCTTTTCAACTTCTTTGCAGTCCTAAAAGTAAATCCCCTTAAGACTTTCTAAGGAGAGCATCTGGTTTCAGCAAAATCAGTGTTCTGATAGCTTGGTTCGGTACCAAGTTCTGACAGTTCTTGCCAATCAAATGTTTGCATAATTCTAGCTATGATACTGCTGGGCAGTTTCACCATTTAAAATACAAATTAGAAGGCTCTACCGTTGTATAGAATGCAAACTCATTAAACTGTGTTTTGTTTTTATAATAAAGTCAATGGATCTTACAATTAAATGGATAAGGCTAGAATTCAAAACACATAGAAGTGGGATTTACTTCCAAGGAAACATGCTGCAGATTGTAAGTCTAAAGAGTGGGCACGTGGCTGTTGTAAGTTAAATTACTAAGAGAATCTTCTCAGTTCTACCCATTATGTTGTGAACTGTAACTGTGTGCACTTTATAATTTTCTTTAAATAAATATTTCAGGGATTTTCAAATGTCAGATATAGAGGTACTCTTTAAGAGAATGAAGTTCCATCATTGAAAACAACTGAAGGGACTACTTAAGACTTCTTGTAAGCAATTCTTTTTCCGGTTTTCAGGTAAACAGATATAATCCCCGTATTTGGAGATACCTGCCTGAGCACCCTAAAACATTTATATAATTGCACTCATTTCCTTATTGTTTGGAAATTTATATTGCAAAAATGATAACGAATTGTTACTTTTATGTCTTTCTTTGTGTTTATTTTTAAACATATAGGCTAAAGATCTGTTTGTTGGCACATCCAAAAATCAAGAGTATGCTGAGATTTTTTTCCCCCTTAATTTGTTGTTGTTGTCATTGCAAAATAAAATATTCTATCTATGAAGCCCCAAAATAAATTTAATAAATAGAAATGCTCTACAGTTAAAAAGTGGCTTGCCTTTTGATATACTGTATTAGACAAATCTGAGCCTTCCATCAACCAGAGTGATTTGTGTGGCTATTTTAATTCTGGCTTTGCTTATAGTCAGCGAACCCATTGATTTATGATTTGGTAATCTTTCCATTATACACATCTATACTAGCTTATTAAAGAAATTATTTTAGGCTGCACCCAACAGTTCAGTATAAATACCTCACATTTTTCATATCTGTCATTGCAGAGGTAAACAATAATATTCAACCACATTAGCTTTTCTCTCTTGAACTAATGGAAACAACACCATATAGCCAATTCAAGAAAGGTTAATGAGACAACATTTTAAAAATTGTAGAGTGAGTATGGCTTCTAAATCATTTAAAGGGTTAAAGAAGCTAACTCCATAAATATGGCAGATTTAAGCAAATGATATTACAGTATAGAACTATATTAGTTTGCAAGCATTGGGTGATATTTCTCTACCTTTTTTAAAAAAAGTTCTGGGACAAGGAGTTTGCAAACATACCGCTTCCACACACTTTTTAAAAATTCTTATTTGCAATTTGCTCAGCTTCTTAGGAAGAGGGGTCTGAATAGGCATCTACTTATCAATGCATCATTATAAAGACATCAATGCATCATTATAAAGACATCATTATAAATACCTTTAATCTTCAGTCTGTCACCTTCACAGTTCCTTCCAAACCCTAAAGCTTGTTTAACTCTCTGAATTATATCCAGCGGTGTTCAAATTGTCATTAAGAATGGTATTTTAAGAGATTCACAACAAAATTGATCCACAACAAATGGTAAATTGCAAAGCATATTTGTATGGAAACAATCTTCAAGTGAAATACTCTGTATAAATAGGTTAAAATCCTCAACCTATATTCTCGGAAGTATAAATTACATTGAATCAATGAATGTAAATCAAGAGTGTTCCAGAGAGAGTGGCCATAATAGGTTTAATAAATAAACAAGCATAACTAAAATGTTTTTAAGAAACAAACATAGGTTTGGATTTATTTTCAACAAGTGGGAAGACGGCAGTTTTCAAATGATACTTGCAATATTCTGCTTGGGTGGTCCCTTCTTGTCTTTTGGCCAATTTAACAGCCTATCCATCCTGCATTTTTTTATGCCACGGAAGTGCAAAAGCGCAAACTACTCTATATAGGTAGTCCTCAACTTATAATCATTCATTTAGTGACTCTTCGAAGTTACAATGGCATTGAAAAAAGTGAGTTATGGCCATTTTTCACACAACCATTGCAGCATCCCTATGGCCATATCATTAAAATTCAGACGCTTGGCAATTGACTCATATTTATGATAGTTGCAGTGCGACCTGACAAAAGCAAAGTCAATGGGGAAAGCATATTCACTTAACAACTGTGTTACTAACTTAATGCAGTGTGGTGCATCAATTCGCTTAACAACTGGCAAGAAAGGTTGTAAAATGGGGCAAAACTCAACAAAGGTTTCACTTAGCAACAGAAATTTGGGGCTCAATTGTCATAAATGAAGGACTACTTTAAGTGAAGCAATACCTTCGAAATACCGGTTTTCAATTAATGATTGCTGTTATATAATGTCTTGCCGTATAGCTATTGTAGTAGATATTCTCCATATTTCTGGTAGTATAGCATTAGTATTATAAGCCTAAAGCAATTCTATGTCAGCAAACTTGATTATAGAAATACATCATATTTAAAACAAATCATACCAAATCCTGGCACTCACAATATTGGAATATGAAGAAATTAATATCCATGGCATTCAAATTGCTACTCTGTCCTACATCTTCCATGGTTCCCATCATCTATCTATTCAACCACAACACTTTGATAGAATTTAGTTA